TGCTTGAGCCAATAGATTTTCTCAAATCAGTCAATAGATTGACTCAATCTTTTGATTAAGCTGCTTGATTGTTTAGGAACTCCATTTATACAAACGTTAGTTTAGTTTTCATGCATGCCATGAAAGAATTTATTGCAGTGTATAAAGGTCTTCATGTTCTGTGGCATTGCAGTGTGCAATTGTTTTTACAATTCTGAGTAAAAAACAGGGGTTGCAGCTCAATGTGACAATCCAAAAGAGATAAAAAAATACAAGAAACACGATGTAGTACAAAAAAATACATGAATGATCAAAAAATAAAGCAAGACCAAAGCAATTATCTGCTTTCATTTCAGGGTTGGTGATTTTTTTGATTTTTTAAAAAAAATCAAAAAATCAAAAATCAATGATTTTTTTGATTTTTTCATGATTTTTTTAATTTACTTGATTTTTTTTATTTTTTCAACTTTTTTGTCTTTTTGAAGGGTTATTTTTTTATGTTGCAATTAGCCAACTAACAATAACAGCATATGGATCATAATGGATGACTAAAAAGGGCACTTATTGCCTTCAATAATGGCCAACAGGCCAAGGTGGTGTTTACCACTTAGGGATTTTTGGGTAAACAATTATTGTAGCACAGTGCACAGCACTATCAATAGATCTACTAGTTTTATGTCCTATAAATCTACCAGACTCTACCCTCTATACACACCGACTAGTAGTGACTGAGTGACTGACTGCACTGTTCCCATTTAATTCAGACCAATAAACCAATACTAAACATAAACTGAACGATAACCAAACCAACCTCATACGACTTGAAACGAGACTTAAGTTATGAGAAAATCTAATACTGTTTGAAATAAACATGTGCACAATTCAAATATTTTATATCCATTTACTGCATTTAATCATTTTAAAATTAAAGAGTAATGGAGGTACTCAGGTACATAAAGAAGAAAGTTTATTTTCCAAGAGGTTAGCATAGCATACCATTTAGAATAGTTATGTTTTGAAAACAATATCTGGAAGAGGGCTGTTAGCTGCAACACACTGTTGGAGTCATTCTCAGAGGAGGGAGTAACCGTGATAGTGAATTCCGATCGCTATGCTGCAATGTTGCAAAATTTCTTGCAGCCTATGATGGAAAACATTGTTGAAAATGAAGCATTGGGAGATGTGTGGTTCCAGCAGGATGGGGCTACAGCTCACACAGCCCGAATGTCACTCAATGTTTTGAAACGCATGTTTCCCGGAGGTCTGGTGTCTCTTAGAGGTGATGTGCAGTGGCCTGCGAGGTCACCTGATTTGAGCATTTGCGATTTCTTTCTTTGGGAACATCTATAAGAAAGGGATTCAGAAGTCGCCCTCACACCCTACCACAGCTAAGGGAACAGATTATTGTAGCAGAGGTTATGGCCATACCTCGCAATATGTGTGAACATGCTGTAGAAAACTTCCGAGAACGACTCCAACAGTGTGATGCAGCTAACAAACCCCATCTTCCTGATATTGTTTTCAAAACATAAGTATTTTAAATGGTATGTTATGCTAATCTTGAGGAAAATAAATTTTCTTCTTTATGTACCTCCATTACTCTTTTATTTCGCCCCAAAACTGTTCAATCAGTTGTTCAATCCCAACCTTGTATAAGCTAGCTAACACATTTAAATTGTATATTGTAATCAATATATAACAAATAATCAAATATTTAAAGACTACTTATAGCCTTATAAGAATTAGATAAGCTGCTAGCTACGTACAATATATTGCACACTTGATGCCTCTGTACCGGTACCAAAAACAATCAATTTATTGGAACCTAATGGAACACACAAAGGCAACAAGTTTATATACCAATTTGTCATTCATAGTTCATTTATACTATACCATGAATAACAATACCTCAATATAAATTAAAGACAGCCACTCAATATATTCAAATATATGAAAAAATCAAAAAAATAAAAAAAAATCGAAAAAATCGAAAAAATCATGATTTTTTTATAAAAAAATCAAGTGATTTAATCACATGATTTAATCATTTTTATTTAATCATCGCCAACCCTGTTTCATTTTCAATCAACATTTGAGAGCATTAATATGGATGTGTGTCATTTATATATTAAGACCGCTGTCTGGTGTAAAAACAAACAATGCTACTTTTGGAAATGGTTGTACTTGAATTACAATTAATTTTATAAGCAAGTGGCACTGTCATCAGTGTCATGTTGCATATATAATATGGTATGAGACAAAAGGTCAATAAAATGGCAAGCAATCTCTGACATTATAGCTTGATCAATCATCATAATTTTGCAATGGAATGTAGCACGTGTAATAATAATGGGGTGAAAATGTTTAAAATAAAATTATGCACATTTAGACACTTATTATTCTAAATTAGGCTACAAAGGCATGAGATTTAATCAAATGAGCGGTGAGAGTTCTTCACACCTAACAATTTGCAATTGGAACATTTTTATGCATTCTGGAATTTTTTTCTGCTGGACATACCATCAACCAGGGCTACTCGGGACTGGCGGGGTAACTCGGGACAGTCCTCCGACACGGCGTAAAACTGTTTTAGTAGCAAAACTAATTGGAATATTGCAAAACTAAATATAGTGGTATAAATGACAACATTTTTCCTATCTATGTAGTATAAAGGAAGTTCAAAAATACTAATTTACTAGCTTTGAAAAATTCCTGAAAAATGGTGAAAAACAATATTTTGAAAAGTTACTTCTGCTAAGGTCCATAGTAAAAAAAATTTGCCTTATTAAAAAATTTTGCTTAGAAAAAAGTGGCAGACAAGTGTCAGCATGAAAACTCTATTTGCGGAATTTACATACATCAAACAAAAAATGGTGGCCATTTCCGCATGGCGGGGCTACTAGGGACACCCCTCGGGGCTATTCGGGACACCCCCCGGGGCTATTCGGGACACCCCCCGGGGTTATTTGGGACACCCCCAAAAATGCATTAACGGTAGAACCTCAGTTAGCAAAGGCTCCAGTTAAGAAAAAAATTGATTAAAAACAAAGAATATTGATTACATTTACCTTGCTCAGCAAAAAAAAAATTCACTTATCAAAAAATTTGTGCATCGTCGGTCATCACAAAATTGTGCATAGAATGTCATATATAGAATTGTGCCCCAGGCATCATAGAATGGAAAGTAATAGACCTAAACTATGATTTATTTCTCCAAAACATATGATGGTTGTCACTAAAACATTCCTTTCTGATTCAGGTATGTTTTTTACAATCTTTTTTTTTATAGTAAATTCACTTAACCCAATTAAAATGGTGTGAAATTACAAGCCATCCTGTAAGCTTAGATACAGAAAAAATGCTATAATGCTGCTAATATGAAGCTTGCAGTGGACAAGGTAGTAGAAATGCTCAATGGCTTGTTCATGGATACAGTAATATTGCATCAATAATATGGTAATTAATGTACATGGTAATATCATATCAATAAAGGAAAAACAAGTAAAAATCACAGAAAATCTCATTTATTCCACTTCTACATCATCTACAATGAAAGAGGAGGACTTCAAAGTATTGTTAGTAATGGATGAGTACACTCTGCATGCTTCAAATGTTTTAAAATTAAGTTTTATTCCAAGTGTCCCGAGTAGCCCTGTTTGACGGGGCTACTTGTGAAACTCTTTTTTTTTTTTTGCTTCTGGCACCTTACAAATGGCATCTGGAATTTTTTTGGAGAAGCCATGCAATAGCCCTTGCAAAGAGCTTTGAAATGAGCCTAAACTTGTTTATGAAATGTTTCATGGTAAGAAGTTATGAATGAAAAACTTTTGAAATCGTCCCGAGTGGCCCTAGTTGATGGTAAGTTTCAAGTTAGCAGCAAACAAGCCAGAGTGGAAAATTGGGCTGAAGCCACAGGCCACTCATGAATTGGCAAAAATGCCCGTAAATCTGGCCATTTTTTTCCATTCCTAAGACCTTTTTCAATTTCTTTGGGGCAAAATACGAACATTAGTCCATTTTCACTTGCAATTTCTGAACTTCACGTAGGCCATGAGGCTATATTTTTCATGGGCCAAAACGGTACTTTTTGGAAAATCCGGGCAATATTTCAGATTCAGATTGGGATGAAACTGTGCAGTATTGACTACTTTCCGTTGGCTGACAATTAGCAGAAAAAAATTAGTATACATAATTCTATAGTCCAATAGCAAATCACTTCCAGTTTCACCCATAATTGCTTGGCTGTTTTAATTAAAAAAGATTATTAGTAAGCTAGCAGACTAGTTGGCTAGTCCTTGTTTTAATACAATATCTGTGCTGTATAACATGTGAAATATGCAATTTAATACATAGTTATATCATTCCAATTTATTTCATTTAATTGTTCACTTCTTTTACCTGATATGATTCTATTTTGCTCAATCCAATGAAATTCTTGCTAATTTTTTAGTCTAAGGGTAAGGCTCAATTTTAATATGGTAGGAAATGGAGCAAAATGTCTAAATTAAAAATGGGAGCTAACATTTTTGTGAATACAAAAACCTTTTTCAAGTTTTTATAGCAGAGAAATTCCCACCTCAGCTCAGCATTGATTTTATTCTCTTCATCTTTTAAAAAATATTCAACAATATGAAAGTAGAAAAAATTTACTAAAGTCTAATCATAATGTCTTTATGTAGGCAACCTGCATCATAATCTGCATGAAATTGTTAAATGAATAGGCTAGGAAACCAACAAGTGAACTTTTTAGCATAAAAATTCTATTTTATTAAATTCCAAGAAGTCAAAAACTTACATAAACACCAATGATGTTAATTATATTCTTTATGATAGTACTCATTTTCAAGAAATGAAAGTAAAACTCGACTATGGGTCAATTTGGTTCAAGCAAGCCTCAAGGCATGAGGCATCCAACGAGAATATTTTTACCGGTTAGAAAACATGGGCATTTCGGGGTAGGAATATAAAGTAATAAATATCGTTGGCTGGAAAAATACGAACAAAAATCGCTCAATACCTACCATGAAGATTTACTGTGCACGTAGTATTGTTGCCACGATCGAGAACGACCACACTAGTTGCGGGAACCGCCATTGTTGGACCACACCTCTCACGAGCTCGGCCACAACAAGACTGACTGAAACTGAACTGAAGTTACTGAACTGAGTTGACGGAAGCTCCGAATGACCGACCAGTCCGAGACTGAGAACCCCCTCAGAGCACCCTGCACTCATAAACTAAGTGCACAATGACCGGTGTTAACACTTTACGCCAAGCAATTATACGGTACACTGCTACTACTCATTCAGTAGCACAAGGATTATTTTAGGATAAGATTTTAATAGATGACAATTACTAGTAATGCAGGGAATAACTTCCTCATTCTATATATACGCTTCATATGCGCGCAATAGATAATACTAATTTTTACTAAATAGCAATTTTTGCCTCAATTTTATAACTAATCAAAACCTAACAAATTAAATTTCAGTCCGCGTAGCTAAAATATATATACATTAAAATATGTTCTCTAGAATTTAAAATAGTAATATTTATAGCAACTTTATACTTTACAATTAATTTTGAACTGACCCTGGCTGACTCGTCTGTGAGTGAGGAGGTTTTTCATTCATGGGTTCATATTGACTGACAGACAGGTTATGTCTATTCAGTAATTCCAGTAATAATAAACATCATTCGAGTCATCGACACCAAACTAATTTTTGATATGAATCTTATAACAAAAACTGTTCATAATCAGAAATTATTTCTTATGTAAGAGTAAGTTCTTCACATATAACTTTAGTTTAAATTACTTTGGTGTAGAGACGAGGGAGTGGCTGTGGGGTTATCGTCCAGTTGCAGACCTATACGAATAAAAATAAAAGTGACAGCTTTTGAGGAGAAACTTCCTGAAAAACTGGTTGAACATGGCTCCGCTGTCGCCAGGATCCTGTTTATTGCCAGATTGTTGGTGTTGTGCAGCCATCTAATTATATGAAGAACGAAGAGAAGTGGCCAATAATTTTGTACGAAGTGGCTTCTAACCACTACACAGCGTGATGAGCTCTCCTTTGATGGGCAAAGGAAAAAACATTCGAAAATATTTGCCGTTAGGAGATTATTGGTGAATTTTGCAGACAGATTGATGTTGCATGTTGCTAACGCTGCTTTTTTTGCGAGGAAGCTGAGATCTCAGCTCAGCTATGAGACGATGGTGAATTTCGAAAAGCAAGGAATTTACCATTTTATGAATTTTCCGGCGAAATTGTTTTCAGCTATTCGAGTTGATGATTTAATCGAAGAATGGTTTTTAGGCCATGTGTGTCAAATAATCAAATTTTACTTTTTCATGCAATGGCTTTATTATTAAAGGAAATGAATTCGAGAATCAGGTTATGGCCAGAGCTCCGATAAAAGCGTCTGGTGATCTCCTTTTTTTTGTCTGTTAACAGGGTTAACATTAAAATATAGTTAATATATTTTTCTTAATGGCGTAAACTTGATGGTGTAATATTAGGAATTTGAGCTAATATACAGTTGATGTTTGTACTTATAAATTTTTTATGTGTGATATTTGTAAGTCTGTGTGAAATCACATTTGCCGGTTGGTCGTTAAAATAGTACTCGTACTTCCGGCGTTGGAAGTAACGCTGGGAGCACAGCCGTGCACCACCAATTTTGTGCACCAATAAGCCCTGAATCGAACGCCTTGGATCTCTCCGGACCTACACCAATCAGCCGTGCACCACTCGGCTTTGTCCTCTTCCGGCCTCGACCACCACCTGCCGTGCACCACCAGGCCGCGGATCGAATATGACTTCCGGGCATCGTTAAATTACGTAATTTTACGTTCACCGCATCTGAGGTTAGGTTTCAGATAGCATAGCTCTGTTCCAAAATTTATCGTCCTTCGACAAGTGGCCGTTCGACCGAGGGCTGGTTCGACCCACGGCCTAGATACGGACGGCTTGAAGTGTTGAAGGCTACGTTCCGAAAGGCAGGAATCATGATGGTCCATTACATCCAGGGCAGTGGTGGTCTTCGGCAGGCGACCCGTAACGCTATAAGTCTGGATTACCACCGATTCGAAACATCTTAAAATTTTGCGGATAACTCTGGCTTGAACCCGCAACTCACAGACTCCAGCATATTTATGCTCCTATTAAATTAATTTCTTGACCCATTAATTTAACTACATATTAGTAGATTGTGTTACATGTGCAGAAGTCAAGGAAAATTTTATTAGTCGCAGCTCCATCGGTGTTGAATTTTGCCACTCTGCTATTCTGCAACTAAGAAAATGTGATGTTTTCATTGACGATAATTCCCTTGACTTGCCATGAAATGATTGAACTATTTTTATAGGTAACAGATAAAACAGATGCACTAATATACGCCATTCTTTTCCGAAAACCTAAATTTTATTGCGTTTGAGCTTTACTGAAAATAAGAGGAAAATGTTGAAATACGCACGCATCTTCCAGGATCTTTGATTTTTCATAAATATTGGCATGCAATTGATGAAAGTGAAAGAATGAGTGTCACTTGGCTTATTTACCATAACCACCTAAACAACGGACCTTATTTCAAACGTTACCGAGTTAATGATAAATCTTACAGCCGTATCTGCCAAGACACTCCTTTCCTCTACCGCCTGACATGAGTAACCGGAGCAATATGGTCACAAGCCTACTTCCAAGAAGGATACGTTCTAGTGAGCGCAAAATGATCTGCACAGATGGTTGCTGTCACGTACGACAACTTTAAAATGTTCTCTGTTGCGTACAAACGTCCTCAGGTTGCTACTGTATAAGTTAAGTTGAAAGTTGTGTTCTCGGCGGTAGAGGGTTAAGACGGCGGTAGAGGGTTAAGATCTTAACCTTAAGATCTTCCAGGTAACACATACCTAGAGTTCGTTTAGAGACGCAACCTCACGGCGATGCAGCAAGCACCGCCCTTGACGGTTACCAAACCCCGCCCATCAGCGACACCAAAAAATGAACTGAGATTCCCAAGACTCGAACCGACTGCTAGTTCCTCTCATCTCGTAGCCGCTGCCACTGCATTACAGTGGACACCTTCGTTGACACAGAATAGAATAGAAGTGTCGGCACTGAAGAAATAGGCCCATGGCCTGTTGCCAATTCTTGTACTTTTCGTGACTTGATTCACAAGGGATCAGGCCTTTGGAACCCGATCTTTCCATAAGTGACGATTGATTGATATAGTTGCTGGACTTATTGCCTGGTCCGTAATTTGCTAGGCATTTTAAGACTAAACATATGCTCCTCATAGCTTCGTTATAGGCTCTAGTCTGTTCTTGAAGGCGTAAGTTGACACTAGGTAGAAACTGCACATACCTTGCCTCTAAGAACCGTACAATACTGGCCAGTAGAACGGCGATTTGTATGGTTCGATATGGGAATGTTGAATAAAAAGCCGTTTTGATCGAGCTAGAAATATGTGGTTCAGTTTTGTTTATAAAATAGATCGTCTCTATTGAAGGCCGGCGACTGAAGCAATGTGGCGACGTTGAAGGTAAAATTACCGGCATTGAAGGTAAAATTATCGGCATCGAAGGTAAAATTATTCTACCAGTCGGGGGATCGAACCCCAAGTCTCCCGCGATACAGGCGGGGGATGCTCACCACTTCACTCCCAACGACTCCACTGGACCAAGAAAATGCGGAAAAATTCGCCATATCCTCATAGAAAACTATTAAGTTAGGCTTTATCGTTAGTTTGGTAATCCTAAAATCAGAGCTGGGCAGCGCTACCGCTACCGCTACATGCTCTAAGTGTAGCGGGCGCTACCGCTACCGCTACACCCACTAGATTGTAACGGGCGCTACCGCTACCGCTACAATAAAATGTAGCGCGCTACATTAGCCGCTACAATGGCCAAAATTATTGGAAATCTCTAAATATTTATTGTTCTGCTATCGGGATTTACTCATTAACATTTAATGATAATAAAACATTTTTAAAACATATCAATGCAACTTTATTGCAATTAATCTAATCGAACTAGTATGGGTTACCCAGGGTTAGATACAGTAAATAAAAGTTACAGTTATTTTTATGTTTTACCTTCCCTACATGGATGTGAACTTTAATCTCATTCGGTTTGTAAAAACAATACCTAGCGACTCTAGAAGCCTTTTTTTAATATGTGCATGGTTTGACTTATATATGGGAGGGGGAGGAAGGTGGGGGGTATAAATGTGAAAAAAATGGGAAGAACGCGAAAAAAACATGAGGAAAATGAAAACTCGGGGCTCTACAGTCGCTAGGTGTTGTTGTTACAAATCGAATGATATGTGTCTCGACATTGTAGCATGTGATTTGCAAAAGTTATAAACTTTTTTAGAGTGCCCATTATATGCCGTTTTTTATTAATTCCATGTTTTCTTTCATTTTTTTTAATTTACATGAACAAAAAGTTTCATTTTTTTTTAATTTACATGAACAAAAAGTTCTTAGATTTCTGTTTTAGATATGTGTACAAAGTTTTAAAACGAACCGTCTGTAAACAAAAAAGTTTTGTTGGAGGGTAGCCGGTCCCCTTAAGTAAAATCTAAAGGCTTTATCTATAAATGTAGCGGTAGCGCTGTAGCGGCAAAACCTCGTATCGCTACTTAAATATGTAGCGGGCGCTACCGCTACCGCTACATTGCCTTAAATGTAGAGCCGCTACCGCTACATGTAGCGCGCTACTGCCCACCTCTGCCAAAAATAAAGTACTATCTATTGGGACAAATATGAGAGATTCAAGCCTGGAGACACGGCCACGAGAAATAATCACTATTTGGCAACCTTTCCATGTATAATTTTAAACAGATAACTAACGACGGCAATCAAACTAGAATTCTGATTAAAAAAATACAGGTAATCTAAAATTACTTACGCGGAATCACAGTAAGCAAAATCATTTTAAAATCAGATATACGGACGTTGCACTGCTCGGCGCGAATGCTCACAATATTGGAATGCTCTAGCTTCTAGCAGATTACCAATCCGATAACACCTCCCTTCATGCTCCGCCAGTCTAGAAAAGCTGCGTTACGAAATATATACCGAATGCGTTTTGCGCGGAGCTGTATTTATGTATAGGGAGGATCGCTTATTATAAAGGGAAATCTTTTTATTCCTGTAGATAAAATCGATTTTTAAAGTATTGCCCAACGAGGCATGATTTTATTCGGGACATAGGAAATGATTTTTATTGGCAGATTAGGCTTCAGTTCCCACTACACATGAATTATTCCTTCAAGAGGCTTGCCAAGAGGCTTATCAATGGTCTAAATCTCTCAGGTCAGCAGTAATTTTTGTAGTGCAGACAAGGAAAAAGAAAACCAAAAAATCGAGACAAATAACAACAATATTTGTGTAAACAAATTTATTTAACAGTTGGAATAAATAAACGCTTACACTCCAATTTAAACATGAACTGAAATCCAGTGCCTTTTCTGTCGTCAAACTGAAATGAGATCCAAGCAAGTTACACCCGCCTAGGCAACAACACGGCTAGCAGAATACAATCAAATGAAATTTTAATTTACTGAACTACCATTTCTTGAGATCGAAAATTCACCTTGACTGTTATTTTTCTCAGAAGAAAAGCTTCTTTAAAAAATAATAAGTTAATGATCTGATTCGTCGATCTAGCGTGCATAAAAAATCATTAGACATGAAGATGTGTCGTCATTAATTTTTTGTAACTCTTGGGTGCTTTGGCTAATACACTGCGGGGTAAATTTCAAGTCAAATCTGGAAGCAGCAATTCGAGTGTTAAATTGAGTCATGAATATGCAACTTTGGGTTAACATAATGGATGAAATTGGACATAATATAAAATTATCCACATATGTACATGTAAACTTGAAAATGTCTAAGTTTAAGAGTGACTGGACTAAGAAACCAACAGTGAATACCATGATATTTTTTATAAGTCTCGAATGTGAATAGTTGCTTTTAAATAATAACTTGTGCATTTAATAGAAAAAGAGGAATGCACATACAAACAAAAATCACACGAGGACAATATCAAATTAATTTTTAACCGACGCTTCAACCGTCGAAATTTTTGTATGCAAATTGATGTTTTTTTATCATTTAGCGCAGAAAAGTGGCTTTAATCATTGAAAATTTTTAAATGAGGATTGATAACATTGAGCTTTGGTAAATTTAGTGTTTAATTGAAGCTTTAACTTTGATGGGAGCCTTCACAGGTCCGGATTTCTTGGACGTCTTAGTGGGGTCGTACTTGAAGGTGCGGACTACGGGCCCTGTTCCGGCTTTTTCAAAGCGAATTTCATCGTAGCGAAGTCGGTCCTGCACCTCACGCGTCACTTTCAAGTTCTTCCATGCTAAAGAGGTAGAAACATGTTAAGGGTTTTAATTTCAAGTTTTGCTTAAATCTATGAGAGTAAAATAGTCTGAACATAAATAAATTTGAAATATACGCAATTTGAAATCTAAGAAGGGGGAATCTAACGATCAGTTCTTTTGGCAAGGTAAAAAATGAGGCGATTCATCTTCTTTGTAGAAACAATGAGCAGGCATTATTATTCCAAAGACCTAAGGAAATCGTCAGAAGTACATAATGGAGAACAGGAGACATATTGGTCAGGCATCTTCAACAATTTTCATTCTTTTTTTGAACGCAATAATTTATTCATAAGTGAAATGAACAAGTTACAAGTTTACCGGCACTCTTAGTCTCAGACGGACACTGTACTGACAGTCTGTTTTTGTTGGATTCAGTCTTTAACGGCTTCACTTTGTCTTTGACGTCTTCACTTTCAGGTCTTCAACGGTTTCACTTACAGTCTTTGACGGCTTCACTTACAGTCTTTGACGGCTTCACTTACAGTCTTTGACAGCTTAACTTACAGTCTTTGACGGCTTTACTTACAGGTCTTTGAAGGTTTCACTTACAGTCTTTGAAGGCTTCACTTACAGTCTTTGAAGGCTTCACTTAGTCTTTGAAGGCTTCACTTATAGTCTTTGAAGGCTTCACTTACAGTCTTTGAAGGCTTCACTTACAGTCTTTGAAGGCTTCACTTACAGTCTTTGAAGGCTCCACTTACAGTGTTTGAAGGCTTCACTTACAGTCTTTGACGGCTTCACTTACAGTCTTTGACAGCTTCACTCACAGTCTTTGACGGCTTTACTTACAGTCTTTGACAGCTCCAATTACAGTCTTTGACAGCTTTACTTACAGTCTTTGACAGCTCCAATTACAGTCTTTGACAGCTTTACTTACAGGTCTTTGACGGTTTCACTTACAGGTCTTTGACGGCTTCATTTACAGTCTTTGACGGCTTCACTTAGTCTTTGACGGCTCCATTTAGTCTTTGAGGGCTTCACTTAGTCTTTGATGGCTTCACTTAGTCTTTGACCGCTTCACCTACAATCTTTGGCCAGCTTCACTTACAGTCTTTGACGGTTTCACTTACAGTTTTTGATGGCTTCACTTACAGTCTTTGACCGCTTCACTTACAGTCTTTCCCAGCTTCACTTACAGTCTTTTCCGGCTTCACTTACAGTCTTTGACAGCGTCACTTACAGGTCTTTGACGGCTTCTCTTACAGTCTTTGATGGCTTCATTTACAGTCTTTGATGGCTTCACTTAGTCTTTGACGGCTCCATTTAGTCTTTGAGGGCTTCACTTAGTCTTTGATGGCTTCACTTAGTCTTTGACGGCTTCACCTACAGTCTTTGGCCAGCTTCACTTACAGTCTTTGACGGTTTCACTTACAGTCTTTGACGGCTTCACTTACAGTCTTTGACCGCTTCACTTATAGTCTTTCCCAACTTCACTTACAGTCTTTGCCGGCTTCACTTACAGTCTTTGACAGCGTCACTTACAGGTCTTTGACGGCTTCTCTTACAGTCTTTGATGGCTTCACTTACAGTCTTTGCCGGCTTTACTTACAGGTCTTTGACCGCTTCATTTACAGTCTTTGCCGGCTTCACTTACAGGTCTTTGACGGTTTTACTTACAGTCTTTGACGGCTTCACTTATAGTCTTTGTGACAGTTTCTACTTACAGTCTTCGACAGTTTCACTTACAGTCTTTGGCAGCTTCACTTAGTCTTTGGCAGCTTCACTTAGTCTTTGACAGCTTCACTTACAGTCTTTGATGGCTTCATTTACAGTCTTTGACAGCTTCACTTACAGTCTTTGCCGGCTTCACTTACAGTCTTTGACGGCTTCACTTACAGTCTTTGACGGCTTCACTTATAGTCTTTGACGGCTTCACTTATAGTCTTTGACGGCTTCACTTATAGTCTTTGACGGCTTCACTTATAGTCTTTGACGGCTTCACTTATAGTCTTTGACGGCTTCACTTACAGTCTTTGACGGCTTCACTTACAGTCTTTGACGGCTTCACTTACAGTCTTTGACGGCTTCACTTAGTCTTTGACGGCTTCACTTACAGTCTTTGCCGGCTTCACTTACAGTCTTTGCCAGCTTCACTTACAGTCTTTGACGGCTTCACTTACAGTCTTTGCCGGCTTCACTTACAGTCTTTGACGGCTTCAATGACAGTCTTTGCCGGCTTCACTTACAGTCTTTGCCGGCTTCACTTAGTCTTTGACTTTACTTAGTCTTTGACAGCTTCACTCAAGTCTATGATGGCTTCACTGACAGTCTTTGCCAGCTTCACTTACAGTCTTTGCCAGCTCCACTTACAGTCTTTGCCAGCTTCACTTAGTCTTTGCCAGCTTCACTTACAGTCTTTGTTGGCTTCACTTACAGTCTTTGACGGCTTCACTTACAGTCTTTGACGGCTTCACTTACAGTCTTTGACGGTTTTACTTACAGTCTTCGACGGCTTCACTTACAGTCTTTGACGGCTTCACTTACAGTCTTTGACAGCTTCTACAACAGTTTTCTTCTTCTGCTTCTCGGTCATGGGGAGGGAATTCGAATTATATTTGTTCATTTGAGGGATTTTGCAGAAATTCCGCACCGCCGGAACGCGGAGCAGACCAGCCTGGCCCAGAGACACCAGGTTGCTGGACATCCAGTAGCACAGCACCGCCTGCAACCAGGTAACATTATAACCTTGCAACATTATAACCTTGTAACATTTTAACCTTGTAACCGCCTGCAGCCGTGTAAAATTATAACCTTGTAACTGCCTGCAACCGTGTAACATTATAACCTTGTAACCGCCTGCAACCGTGTAACATTTTAGTAGTAGTAGTAGATTTACTAGCGCTTCAGATAGCTATCTATTTCGCGCCGGAGGTGAAATCTTCAGCTACGTCAAAGATGTTTGGTTTCTTCCGTCTTCAAGGCTTATAGCCTGATCCATTTTAGGCGCAGGGGCTGGGCGGTAGATTCCCTGCTCATGGAGCGAGGGTCCGCTCCGACTTCATGTATCAACTCCAGCGTAAGTTTAGTGAGGCTTTGTCTAGGTGATGGGACGGTGCAGTTATAGTCTCGCTAAAGGCGGTGGTGCAAGTGCATATGACCGACCGGCGGTGGCGTTACGGGGTCATGCTAAATCTCTGGCAGCAGGTTGCATTCCATCAGGTATCGTCTAAGGTTATCGGTTTCGAAGTTACTTCGCCGTCCTCCGGCAGCATTCTAGTGAGCATCTCGTCATGATCAAGGCCGGATGTGTTGGGGTAGCAGTTTTGTCGGATGTCGTTGTGGCTAGGGCACTCCGCCAAGACATGCAGAACTGTCAGGGGCACCAGGTAGCCGTCACAATATAGTCGTCTTGATATTATTGTTGTGTCGGTCGTAGCCGCACACCCCACTGCGTCGTCCGACTTTGAGCCGTCAGTGTATATATGGGTCGAGTTTGTATGCTTTGTAGTTGCGTGGTCCAGGAAAAGGTTTTTCATCGCAGTTGCCTGCAACTCGGATTTTAGTGGGAGATTTTGATCCGGGAACATTATAACCTTGTAACCGCCTGCAACAGTGTAACATCATAACCTTGTAACCGTCAGCAGCATACAACTACCTCAAGTAAATGAAGTTTTGGATTAAAATTATTCACTTACAGTCTTTGTAGGATTTGTGGGATTAGCGATCAGGAAATTGTTGTGGTTGATGTGAAAATGAACGCAGAAGTGTAAAGAAGTTTCAAAATAACTGGCTTGGTTTGTATGTTACATTGTTGTTTAATTAATTAGCCACTATGAAATATTGTATATTAATTAACATAAATAGTACTTTCGGAAACGAATTGTAAAATTTAAGAATATTAACAAGGAAAAAGACTCATAATGACTTGTACTAAAATGTTTTCCGTGCTGAAGATTCGTGCACAGAAGTGATATTAGCATTAGATGGCAGAATTTTCTTCTTAAATATTTAATTTTCTTTTCTAAAGAGTTTTGATTCCTTGCAAATTGGAATATAATGCATTCTCTGGTCATTATTCCGAAGTGTTTCAATAAGAAGTGATATTGAGCGCTCAGCGCAGTGCATGACATTGTCTTTTCAATTACAATTGCAGTCAACTTAAACTTTCTAGCATAACAGCAGAACTTCTTTGTTCGTAATGATAATTTTTCATCGAGAACTAACTATTCATTCTACTAGAATAACTATACATATACGAGAATAACTATTCACGTACGAGAATAACTAAATATATACGAGAATACCTATTCATGTACTAGAATAACTATTTATGCACGAGAATAACTATACATTTACGAGAATAACTATATATATACAAGAAAAACTATTCATGTATAAATATACGAGAATAACTATAAATATACGAGAATAACTAAATATATACGAGAATAACTATACCTATACCTACAAGAAAATAACTATATATGCAAGAATAACTATACATATACAAGAATAACTATACATATACGAGAATAACTATACATATACGAGCATAGGTAACTATTAATGTACGAGGATAACAATACATATGCGAGAATAGCTATAAATATACGAGAGTAATCTAACTATACATTATATCCTTCCATTTAATTAGGCAACAATACATACTCGGCTGCAGCTTGGTAATGTGACAACACTACATATTCCTGCAGTGTAATCTGGCTATACTGTGTGTTTTGCTATTGTAATCTGGGATATCTACTCTTTCCTGCATTGCAAACAAACAATTTCTGGCCCATTTTGCAACGTAACAGTGGTACTCATTGCTTTATAGTGTTAGAGGTTTACATGATTTATTAAGGGTTTTAAACTTCTTGCATTGATGATAATAATAATAAACTGGAAACGCTATTTCGATCAACTAATTTCTGATACAATACAAGACATGGACGAATCGTAAGCTACAAGTCAATTGAAAAAAAATGAACTGATTCTAAAAATCTGTGGTTTGACACCATGAGAAAAAAAAAAAAAATCAGTACCCACTCACTTCAGTGACTGACAAAGAGCGCATTTTCTCGTGAAGTCACGGACGGACACGACGAGCACAATAGCGCCTCTTTAGCGTATTTTCTCATTTATGGAAAAAAGGCGCTATTGTGCTCATCATGTCCGTCTGTCCGCCTGTCTGTCTGTCCGTCCGTGACTTCACGTTTTCTTCGAAGAGAAAATACGCTTTCTGTCACTCACTGCAGTGAGTACTGAGTTACATTTTTTTTCCATAAATGAGAAAATGCGCTAAAAATGAACTTATTCTAAAAAATATTTGGTGTGACCCCATGAGAAAAAAAATCTCGTACACCACGAGTCAATGGCATAAGCTGCACACTCACGGCCGGGAATTTGATCATGAAGGGCAGCATGGCGAGCGGCATAAACTCCAGCACCGCAAACATTATCCTGCTCGAGTCGCCACTTGCCTGTACACGGCCCACCTCAGTGCCAATCTGCCGGAGAATAAATGCAGTTAGATAAAATAGTAACTAAATAATGGTAATAAATACTAAATAATAACTAGTACCGGTAACTTAATTAAGCTGTTGAGAGGCTTAACTCAGCGGTTTAAAGGATTAAATGCATCGCACAGGAAATGAAACATAACATAATTCCGAGACCCACTTCAGTGCCAACCTGCCAGAGAATCAATGCAGTTAGACAAGATATTGACTAAATAATGGTAATAAATACTAAATACTGACAAAATAATGGTAATAAACACTAAATACTGACTAAATAATGATAATAAATACTAAATACCGACTAAATAACGATAATAAATACTAAATAATGATAATGATATATAAATACTAAATAATGACTAAATAATGATAATAAATAGTAAATACTGACTAATAATGGTAATAAATACTAAATACTGACTAAATAATGATAATATATACTAAATAATAACTGTAGTGATCTTAGCTGAATATTCAGGTGTACTTTGGGAAACAGAGGGAGAATAAGAATAATAGTAACTAATGTGTGGGACGTAGAATAAGTTAAGGTGTTGACGATCCCGTAGCAATGTAAGAATTCAGAGCTGACTTGTTGTGGGACCAAAGCAAGGACTAGTTTAGTGAATTCAGACAACTGAAGAGGTATGTGTAACTGTCGATATTTATCAATATTGTATTTATTTGGTGTGTTGATATTATGTGAGATATATGGTAGGGAATTACCCGGCTAATTGTAACTTCGATTTTGTTCATGTAGGGAGAAGTCAACCCGGATAGAAGATCACAAGAGGCTATCAAGAAGACTCAAGTGTTGTGCATATATAGTTTGTTACTGTGATGTGAGAAACCTCTACTATGCTGTGCCCTAGCATATGAAAGAAGAGTTCTGTACCCTATATTTACGATACCCATGTTCGCGTTAACTTGTTCGATTTCTTAAGTTAAGTGTTCACTTTTCATTAATATTAAATTAATTGTGTTAACTCGAGATCATTATTTAACCTCGGCACGAAAGATCATTACAATAACTAACTTAATTCAGGTGTTGTGGAGCCTACCTCAGCGGTTTAAAGGATTGAATGCATTGTCCAAAAAATAAAACTTAACATAATTTGGATTTGTTCACTGTCAGACTCAGCGATGTATCAATATATTGTCTACAAAAGCTTGACTCAATGACAAGCATTAAGACAAAGTGGCAACGATGGGAGGATTATTAATACATGCATAACTACATGATGGTATTGACATATTGTTTACCAAAGTTTGACCCACAATCTTACCCGAAAAGCATTACAATAAGTGGCAAAGATGGGACAATTATCACTACATGCATAACTACATGATGGCGTACATGGTGATGGAGGTGGGTAGTAGCGCGCTACATGTAGCGGCCGCTACATTTTCAGTAGCGGTAGCGGCGCTACATTTAAGGCAATGTAGCGGTAGCGTTGATGGTGGCGTACATGGTGATGGAGGTGAGTATAGGCAGGATGTAGCAGGGTACAGACCTTGATGGTGGCGTACATGGTGATGGAGGTGAGTATTGGCAGGATGTAGTAAGGGTCGGCGACAGTGAGGTCAGAGAACCACCAGAGACCGCCGGTCGTGAAGCTCGCCACGGGCAGCGCAGCGCAGCGTCGCAGGCCAACGAACATGGAGATGAAGATTGGCGCCTGGTGTAGTATCAAGTTGTGTGAATATATGTTTTACAAGACATTTAAGTATATAAATTGCTTAGTTTTGGAAATGCAAGCATCCCTTGTAACAGATAAGGGAAAGTACAACAGTTGAACCAGATATCTAAGTATATAAATTTCTTAGTTTTGGGAATACAAGCATCTCTTGTAACAGATAAGAGAAAGTACAACAGTTAAACCAGATATCTAAGCACATAAATTGCTTAGTTTTTGAAATATAAGCATTTCTTGTAACAGATAAGAGAAAGTACAACAGTTGAACCCGATATTTAAGTATATAGATTGCTTAGTTCTAAGAATACAAGAATCCCTTGTAAGAGATAAGAGAAAGTACAACGGTTGAAAAACCAGTAGAAAAGAATCAGATTAAATCGTTGAAATAAATAAAACATGAAAAATAGACCGGTTATGAGATTAAATCCTATTAGGTAAAACCATAAGATTCGAACAAAGTTTTTTTATATTTGGATGAGAATCAGAGGAACTTTTGAACAATACTTTGAAGTGTCAACGAGCGCTTGATCTTCGGTAAATTCCATTTTTGTGAATTTTCCTTCAGTGCCTATGAAATTTTGGTGTTCAGGTGAAATTTTGGTGAAAAAGTGTTGCAGGAAGGAATTTTGTGCAGTAAGTCTTCATTAAAAACTTATTAGGACGAATGAAACTTTCTTCGATTTTGAAGAAACCTTCTAGCTGAAATAATTTCTATGCAAACAGGTTGTCAGTAAAAATGACATTAGTGACGAATTGAAGATGAGTAATAAATTAAAGGAACGCTACAATGAAGGCATTAAGTTATGTTTATGATCAGTTTAACTGCCCAACGATGTAGTAAGCTTGGCGGCAGATGCTGAACTGGTGTCGTACTATCAAAAATAGTTAGTAGTTTGCGACTGCCTCAGCCAATCAATGACAGTTTTTCAAGTTAAAGTAGTATTAGTAGTAGCAGTTGAATGGTTTTCTAGCGCCTCAGCTATCAAGCAGCCTCAGATCGGAGATAAAAAATAAACATTCTCAGCAAGGCAGAAGGTTTAAATATTTAGAAATTACCACCTTCTGCCACAAAGGATGGAAGGTCTCAAGTGGACGGCCCGTTATAGTAGGCAAGAAAGAAGCAGCGTTATTGCATCTCAAAGAGACGAAGTGACAAGGAGGGACAGGTGAAAAGCAACAGAAACTAAGACACTCGAACAAGAGGTCGCTTACACGGGACGTCGGCCACCCGCACGAGAGAGAGACAGAGAAGATAAACGTAAGCGAATCTTGCTAACAAAAACCTAACTTCACAACTGATCCCAAAGTAAGAAATCGGAAGCTCAGTAATGGGGGGAGGCTTGCACTTGGGTACAACGCCCGTCGAACGCAAGATACCACAGGAGTTCAGGCGAGCTCTGACACACGTCAGAAGATAGCCTCAAGGGAGGTTTTTAAGCTTGACCCAACAAATACAGACGGAATTATTTTCTCTAACATTTTGAGCCAAAATAAGTTGGGTTTTGGCTATTTTGCACGTTACAAATATTACAATCAAAATTAAAAATACTGAGAAGATATCGCTACATGTACTTGGGCCACTGCATTTATTTAGGAGCGGTTCAATGGTACTGCCTGTGGCCCGCTTAGCAAACAGATTATAAATGACAACAAGCATAGATGCGATCATCAGACTTTACTTGCTAAATGCTGTTATCGCTGCAAAATTATCCAGAACGTAAGTTTTGTTAATAGCACACGCTCAGAAGATGTTCACCCTATCATGGTTCACGCTAGACTCCTGTCCCCAACAACATTGCCTTTCTCCTAAATTGGCTTGAAATGAATGAATTAACGGTTATTAAAAGAATATATGTCCTCATACACTTAACAATGTCTAAGTATGAAAACAAAATGGGTATCTCACTGGAAGTTCCGAGGCAATGTTTTACACATCATTTCAGGAAAGTATTGATAACCATGTAAGAATTTAACCAGTAGTTTACTTAGAAATTATTTTAAAATTATTTACTTTAAAATTATTTAATTTAAATTATTTAATAAAATTAATTTAAAATTATTTAACACTCACGCTAGACCTCCAGTCTCCAACAGCATTGCCGCCAACTGGGCCTATACTTTCAAAATTCGCTAAGTGAACGTAAGTACATACGCTCTATTTTCTTGTCTATGATTGGTGGATTTTGCTTGAAAGGCCGTCAATGATTGGCTAATGAACTTACGATCTTTTAAATATTTTTGAAAGTATAAACCCAGATGACCAATCAGATATCAACATGTTTAGCTTAGTTCACACCTGTACCCACCTGAGCTATAGGCACAATCATGGACTTCAAGGGATTGACGTTCTTCTCTTTCATGAACACCATGAGCTCGTTGGTGTAGCGAGACACTGGAAAAATGTGATACCTACGTCAAAGACAAATAAATTTTCAAACGCATAAATAGGTTTGTAACGAAGTTCAAGAAGTAATATTATTTCAAAGTCGTGAATTAGATGGAAGACTAGATTTGAAGTCTCTTGATTTGACTCTGATTGAGTCAATGAACAGAATGGACTCTGAATCCTTCCCGTGCCTTGGGCAGTTGAGGTTTCAGAGCTTTTTCGGCGGGATACTTATAACATGGTTAGGCGCGAGCCATTGAATTTGAATCAATATTACCCAGTTGCACTTATTGCCTCTTATTGCGTCTTATTATGTCTTACAGTTGTAAGAAACTTATCATGAATTAGATTAAGTTCCCATCTTAAGAGCAAAGGTCAGCTCATAAATATAAATGCCGGCCATTGAATGGCTAAACAACTTCCTCCTGCTACTAATATTAAATCCATAATTCAAAGCAAAATTAGGAATACTATGAAATTCTTCAATAAGAATGAAATGTTTGGAAATAGTTAATGCAATTACAGTCGTGTTTCACCACTCATTTCAACTTCTACTACACACAAAATTCAAATAACTGGGATCATCCAAACTTTTATTTCCGTCAACTGGGGTGACTTCGGCCACCACTACAACATAAACAAATGCCAGCAGAACAAAATAATAAACGTAGGCCAAAGTGACGGGTGACTTTGGCCACCGGGGTTGACTGCCCGAAGTCACCTTTGGTGCCCGAAGTTACCCCTGGTGCCCGAAGTTAGCCCTGGTGCCCGAAGTCACCCCTGGTGCCCGAAGTCACCCCTGGTGCCCGAAGTCACCCCAGGTGCCCGAAATCACCCTTGGTGCCCGAAGTCACCCCTGATACCTGAAGTCACCCCTGGTGGCCAAAGTCACCCCAGTTGACGGTACACAATAAATTATAACAACTCGGAACCTTGCAGCTGATCCCCAGACTCGCGTGCTTCCGTGATTTTCATTTGCAGAACCTGCATCTGCGGACTGACATTGTGGAGCTGCGCAGCGTTGCGCTGAGCCATCAGCACCAGCGGCGACATCAGCAGCCTGAACGCTACAGTCACTGAAAAGTGAAAGATAATTACAGGATTGCTACAGTCACTGAAAAGTGAAAGATAATTACAGGATTGCTACAGTCACTGAAAAGGTGAAAGATAATTACAGGATCGCTACAGTCACTGAAAAGGTGAAAATAATTACAGTATCGCTACAGTCACTGAGAAGTAAAAATAATTACAGTATTGCTACAGTCACTGAGAAGTAAAAATAATTTCAGTATCGCTACAGTCACTGAAAAGTGAACATAATTACAGTATGGCTGAAATAATTACAGTACAGTCACTGAAAAGAGAAAAATAATTACAGGATCGCTACATTCAGTGAAAGGTGAAAAATAATACAGGCTCGCTAAAGTCACTGAAAAGTGAAAGATAATTACAGGCTCACTACAGTAACAGAGAAGTGAAGCCTGTGATGAATATTAAATGATTGTTACACTTACTACTGAAACGTGAAAGATAATACAGGATTGCTATAATCACTGAAAAGTGAGAGATATTAAATGATCGCCACAGTCACTGAAAAGTGAGAGATATTAAATGATCGCTACAGTCACTGAAAAGTGAGAGATATTAAATGATCGCTACAGGCACTGAAAAGTGAGAGATATTAACAGATCTTGTGAACAAATGCCAACAAAAATTGTAATGAATAATGTTAAACAATTTCAAGCCGGATTCACATGATGTGATTACGAATACAGCACACAATGAACATGAATCAATTCAATGAAAAAATATTGATTTATTTTGAAATATTGATATATTTTGAATATTGATATATTTTGAAATATCGATATATTTTGAATATTAATATATTTTGAAACATTGATATATTTTGAAATATTGATATATTTTGATCTCTTTTGATCACTTTTGATATATTTTCAATATTGACAAAAGTGATGTAAGGCGCACACCTGCGGCAATAGCGCCCCACCAAGGCAGCCCACAATGAACATGAATCAATTCAATGAACTGCTGCATGAGCCCCACGGGGCCCCATCCCCCCAACCCCAGCGAGGTTAAGGTTGCCTCCCCCAGGCTGTTAAGGACGGCAGGCTCGATGACGGCGTCCAGGGGCGGGGGCGGCACAGGGATGTACTCAATACCGTCCACTGGTCCAGCTCCAGTGCCGGCCACGGGTCCAGCTCCTGTACATATACAAGATTTGGTAGAACAAAGCTCTGGTAAAATGGAATATAAGGTTAACATTAATATAATAATATTAATAGTCTTATATCAATAGTAGTAATATAAGGTGAGAATACGTCATGGTGAGAATACGAGTTTCATAAGTAAGCTTGTCAATATTTTTAGTGCTGTTCCTCTGAATATTTGTTTACAGAAGTGATATTGAGCACTCAGCACTGCGCAGGACATTGTCTCTTCAAATACAATTGCAGCCAACTTGAAATTTCCAGCCTAACAGCAGAACTTCTTTGCTTGTAGTGATGATCTTTTAGCAAAAACTACGGTATAATCTAACTATACATTGATTCTATCCTTCCTTTCAATCAGGCAACAACACATACTCAGGCTTGGTAATCTGGGCAACACTAAATATTCTTGCAATGTAATCTGGCTATACTGTGTGTTCTGATATTGTAATCTGAAAAATCTATTCTTTACTGCATTTCAAACGAACAATTTCTGGTCAATTGGGTTAATGGTTGCAGCTGATATACCTACTAGTGATAGTTTGACGATGAAACTCTAATTTAAGATTTACTTTCAAAGCATCTAGAGCTTTTGAAAGTGATCAACACCAAGGAAGGATTATATACAGTCATTAGATACCTTGATGCACTATGAATGGAAGCCAACAGTTGATCAGATAAAATTTTGTCTGGAATCAAATTTGATACACTGTAATTACAGACCTCAAAATAAAAAATCATAATAATTTTCGAACCAAAAATTGTCAAAATAATTGAGTTCAGACCAAAATATTACTTACAAGAACAAATGAAAAAAAGGCAAGATACTTACCAAGTTTTTCATTAAGATTATCAGCAACAGAAGGGGTGATGAGAGTCTCTGACTGTGCGTTAGAGGAGTTGGGAGAAGAAGAAAAATAATTCCCTAATTCTGGGGTTGCAATTTCATCATTGCTAGAAGTGGTAATATGAGAGGAAGCATCTGATGTTGAGGGTAAAGGAGAAGAGAAGTTAGAAGGAAGGTCAACAGCAGAAGATGGTGAAATATTTGTTAAGGAAGGAGACACCTGATCAGATGAGAATGTTTCAGGTTGACTGTTTGGGTGAGTCGGTGATGGATTATTATCAAAAGATGTATTCGCCTCAGTAGAACATTTGTTTTTTGACGGTAAATATATTTCAGTTGAAGAGATATCAGGGAATGATGAAGGTTGTTTAACAAATTCAGACTGGTCTGACACATAGCTATGAGTTGATTCTGACGAGAAAGGAACATTAGAATCTGTTCCAGATAGTGGAACTGAGATTGAATTTCCAGAATATGAATTGACCAATGAACTTTTGATATCAGGGATAAGATTAGACTCAACTGCCTCAGAAGAAAGTGGAGATTTAGAGCTCAAATTACTTTTAACAGATGAATTTACCACATCAGAAGTTGAAGACGTTATAGATTCAACATAAGGTTTGCTTGAATCCAAAGAAACTGTGATATTTGAATGTGCTTGTGAAGAATCAAACATGAATGATGATACTCCTGCAGGCTGAGATCCATCAGGAGATGTAGAGGTAGAGAGTAACTTTATGTGTTCAGTAGTGGCAGGGGAAGCTTCAGGACCTTTAATTTCAGTGGAAAGTTTAGACAACTTTGTAAGAGTAGAGTTCAAGTTACTGTCAACTTCAGAAGAAGGTAAATTGTGTGTCTCAGAAGAAAGCTTTTCATGGATAGATGAGTTCAAGGTTGTGGAGTAGGAACTATGTAATGTTTCCCGAGTGGCATCATGTGTTTGTAAGATGTACTTTTCCAGGCCTTCATCCAGCAGCAGATAGAAAAGTTTGTTTTACAAAAGTAATAAGGTTATATACCTAGTTATTCAGTTATTTGATAACTGAAATTTATACACAACTCTTTGAGATAACCAGTACGTGGGACTTTGAATTTTTCTTTTTATATCATGTCAAAGAAAAAATAAATTTAATATCTCTATGAGTGAATGGTAGAACAAATAAAGAATTTATGACTTCAATGACACAACTGCTTATCAATTCCTGCACAACACAATCAAAATCAAAAAGGAAAATAGCAAAGATTGCCTGAAGCAAAATTTACTTACCCAAGGAAGGAGGAGGTTCAGGAATATTTGTAGGTGCATTTGAGGACACTGATGATGCAGCAGAGACACTCCAGCCCTGAATGAAACATTTATAAAGTAAGACACAATGATTGAAATCTGGAAATTTAGCTTCAATTTTTTAGCGCATTTTCTCATTTATGGAAAAAAGGCTCTATTGTGCTTGTCATGTCTGTCTGTCCATCCATCCATCTGTCGGTCTGTGACTTCATGTTTTCGACGACACGAAAATGCGCTCTCTGTCACTCACTGCAGTGAGTACTGAGTTACATTTTTTAGGTGTGAGAGACATTTTGATGAAAAATCTGATCTTTGTATCCTAATGATGTCCCACTAGCATTCTAAAACAGAAAAACTATACCTGACATGATATGCATAAAATGGTTGGTAAAATCCATAAAATGATTTACACTGTGTTAACAGTACAAAATATACAGCTCATTAGACAGTAAGATAGCGTAAATTACGAGACAAAAAGTTTTTCTTATAATAAGACATTTTACAAGGATTTCCATCTGAATTTATGTAAAATTCATGTTAACATCTGAAAAATGTTACATGGTACAATGGCTAAAATCTCCATTCATGATGAAAAATATTAACTAAATGAATTAAAATTTCAATAATACCCTTAGTAAGATAAAAAGCTAGCTGCAGGAATGTTGTTTGGCAGTGATCAACAGCCAATCCTTTCTTGCCTAGCTGTTAAATAAATCAGACAAATTTTGTCAATTGAGTAACTGATCGGATTGCTGGAATAGACAAGAAAGAAAACACTCGTCATATAAAGACTAAATCATTTTGCCAATACATACCTTCAGAAAATCTGGGATATAGGAGCTATTGTGCCGACACTGAGTAAGTAGCCTGGTATTGCAGGAGAGCAGGTTATGACAATTTCCAAGGAAATTGGAATTTTGAAGGCAATTCTTAGTAGTACTTGAATATTTGTGATCAATTTTGACATCTTTATGTAAGCGTTTTGAATTTATAACAGACCATTGATTCATATGTGCTGACAAAGAAATTTGTCTGATTTCATTGGAAGTTGGATATTTACCAGCACATTTCACATTATTTATTGCAAGCCTCAGAGGCATAAGAAGAAAATTTTGAGAATTCATTTTAGCAGAGAGGGCAATCAGATGAAGCGAATGTGACAAGTATCTTGATTTTCCATGTCACCTGGAAATGGATTCATAACAGTAAATATTTTTACTGAGAAGCATTTCAGTAGGTACTGTCAAAGGGGGTAAATTGGAACAGTCATTTCACATTTTGCAGAAATGTTGTTGCAGCTAAACTAATCAAAATATTGCAAAACTGAAAATAGTAGTGTGAAGTTAAACATTTTTACTAGCTCTGTAGGGCATAAAGCAAATTTAAAAATCATACAATTACTACCTCTATAATATCCCTGAAAAAAGTATGATGAGAGATTTTGGAAAAATGCCTCTGCTAAGGTCTGTAGCAAAAAATATTTGCAGTATTAAAAAAATTTACTTAAATAAAATTTGCACACAGGTCTTGGTTTAAAAACATTGACAATGAGTAAAAATCACTGAAAATGTCATATTTTACAGTTTACACCTACATGCTACAGGCTACACCATCCACAAAGGAAGAGCCGAAGAGGATGACTTCAGAGTACAGTTAGTAATAGATGAGTACACTTTGACTCATAGTGGCAAAGCAGAGAGTTTTTTAGACTCTCCCTCAATTTCATTTTTGACTCCTATAAGTAGACCAGTAAAGTATCATGGATACCAGCAAATCCAGCATTATCTTACTGTTCTTACATAAGAAATTGGTTTAAGTCTTTAGTCAATGAGGAAATTAAAAATGAACTGATTCTAAAAAATCTCTGGTTTGTTACTATGCTTTGACTTTGCATGGTTCAAACATTTTAAAATTGAATTTTATATTATCTGTCCAGAATTACCCCATTCCTAGGCCCAGGGGTAATTCAGGACGCTATTATTTTGTGTCTGACACTATATGAATAGCATATGGATTTTTTTTGAGAAGCCATATGATAGCCATGCAAAGACCTTTAAAATGAGCCTAAATTTGTTCATGAAATGTTTCATAATTCATGGTAAGAAGTTATTAATGAAACAAGCTCAAACCCATCCCTTATTACCCCATTTGACAGTACTTTTTTTATAGTTGGGGGTTAAGACTTGTGGCATCAAATGCGCCCACCAGGCAGCCTGAGGCAGGCACCAGGCTGCTGTCTAGGCAGTGAGGCAGGCTGCTGCAGCCTGCCTCACAGGCACCAGCCTGATCTCTGACAGAATCAGAAAGCAAAGCAGACTCGGAGCTCTGCTAGACTAGATTGCTGCCCCTGCCCTCAGGCCCAGCACACTGTGGACAGTGGACCAATGCAGTCTGTGTGACCACACACTTGCTGTGGGCCTCACAGCCATTTGGATGGTACTGCTCTGTGATCGTTACAGGCTTACAGCCAGGCTGCAGTCTGCACCTCGTCTCCGTGGACGTACAGTTCACTCACAACAAGGGAAGATATATAAGCAAGCGGTAAAGTGCAATGGGCCCGGAATAAAAAATGCTGGGCTGGGATAGTAGCTGATGGCCAGATACTTAAACGAAGTTGTTAGGCGTGCATTGTATGGTATCTGGACTGGAGATCTAATGCCGGCCGGGTCTAATGAGTAATGACTAATACGAGGCGTGATTACAACATTCTTTTTTTTTTTTTTCAAATTTGCGGGGGCCTCTGAAGACCAGTCCAATGCGGCCCCACGACAGAGTTTTGAGTTATAATTGTTAATCACTTTAATTAATCACTTCAATCACTTTAATTAATCACTTCAATCACTTTAATTAATCACTTCAATCACTTTAACTACTTCAATTAATTGGCTCTTTATCATTAATCATTAAAATCCTGCCTAACTCAATCTGCCTGCCTAACTCAATCTGCCTGCCTAATTCGAACTCTCCCTAGCACCTGTTGAAGAGAACACTCCACGGCCTGTCTCTTATACACATCTAGATGTGTATAAGAGACAGGTACAGGGTGCAACAGGGATCGAATGGGATGTCAAAGCTGTCTCTTATACACATCTAGATGTGTATAAGAGACAGCTTCTAGCTTTTAGCACCAACTGGAGAAAACCCATGGAATGACTCCCTAGAATCAGNCTGTCTCTTATACACATCTAGATGTGTATAAGAGACAGGGGTAGGGGTTGGTGGGATTTCGTCTTCCGACATGTCAGAAGTCAAAGAGAGTTGATCACATGCAAAACCTTCAAAATTACTTTTCTTAGTGTAACCAGATTTTTTATTAGATGTAGGCTGCTCGGCACCTGGCGCTGGTGGGCAACTCAATAAAGATGAAGGGTTAGGAGTCTCAGGAATGCAGTTTATGCTACTGTCACTGGAATTGTTGGCTACCGGCGATGAAGGTTTTAAAGGCACAGAAGCAGGCAAAGGAGTAGGGCCGGCCTCAACGTCTGAGTCGGACATGGACGCGCCCCCACCCCTACGCCGCCTATGGCGCCGCATCATTGTAATTAGGAGCTCGAGCTCTGAGGCTCAACTTCTCCTCCACTCACACGTGACTTACCTATTTATAATACTGATAAATATATGTGAGATACGATTTCGGCTAATATCTAGGTGGACACAAATCTATCTAGTCGATTGATCAATGTTCACAGGCACACGTCCGTAATCGACCGCAGCTCGAACCGGAATCCGATTACAACATTCACGCCAATGCCGGATCACGGTGCGGGAGTAAATTTGAAATTCTAATTTTGACATTTCTTTTCAATTTGAAAGCGGAAATTTTTAAATTGTGTAGCAATTTTGTACAACAGTCGTTGCAATCGTAATTAGCTAAATACTGTTTGTAAAATAATACTCGTTTGGTAAGCAAATAGGTACAGCGGAAATGTGCTTCATATTAACTTCTATGTAGCTATGCTATAAACCGCCTTTACAATTGTAGAAAATGCGCACTCTGTACGGCCGGGGTAGTTTAATCAAGCAGTGAATCGGCAGGGAAAGTGTCGTTATCTAACAACCATAAATTGAACCACCTGTAACATGCGCCCGGCATGCAGGTGGCCTTTGCCAAGGAGTGCAGCACAAACAAACGTCCTATCTCTACTACCATGGGTGGGTAAGATAACTTATTGACTTGTTAGGCACCTCAAATGAGACTATGTGCTCAACGGCCACACATTTTTGAGACAAACTGTAGTCCAGACAAAGCTATAAAAACAACGCAGGAACTTAGAAGTCCGCAGTGCCAGCTGAGCTTAGATCGACTTCGCATTTCTCCTTTTCTTAGTTCAAGGCACAAGGCGCAACACTGAAAAACACTGCGTAATATATATCAGGTAATTCTCTTTCGTTATCTGTCTAACTTCTTTCGATACTTTTTTTTTCAGGATGCGAAATCTTACGATTAAGTAAAAAACAAGGACATGTTCAGGGGTAGCACACCTCAAGAAACCAGACGGCACCAAAACTTCCAATGACTTCGAGAAGGCTACTTAAGGGGAGCGTCTGGTCAAAATTTTTGAAATTTGGCTTTTCCGGTTTTTAATCTCGTCTTTAAGCTTACATTCTGCTCTATTCAACAGTACCAAAATCATTCCGGTAAGTTGATTTATGCGTTCACGACAGATCGCGAACGGGTGGGGGTGGTGGAGTTCTTTCACATTTAGGATAGGCGAAAATTACCGGTTGCATACTTAAATAGCTAGTCCACATACGATGTGCTTCAGTTACCCGCCTGCAGTTGTACGGGAGGGTTTGCGTGTCGTCGTTCACACCATCCTTGACAGGAATTGAGCTCCAGTATTGCCTCTGTCTCTTATACAGATCTAGATGTGTATAAGAGACAGGATATATGGTGTGTTTCCTAAATTTCTTAGATTCAAACTATATAAACGTTGTCTACATACGTCCTCTTTCTATAAGTCATGGCAGAATAAACTTCTTTGTAAGGAACTGGCTAGTAAAAGGAACTCTTTGAAACAATTAACGACTAGGGTGACAGCTGTCTCTTATACACATCTAGATGTGTATAAGAGACAGTTTCTATTGCTCATGCACGCGAGCTGCCGTGGTCAAGGTTGCTAAGGCGTCGCGCGGTCTCCAGCGATCCCGGGTTCGAATCCTGCCACGGACGAAAAACAGGTTGGTTCGTCAACGTTGATTCAATCAGAGAATTTGACGTTGCAGCAATGTCGTAGTAGTAGTAACATTGATTCAACGTTGCATTGTAACGTCAGTACGACGTTTCATGAGAGACGTCGCTTCAATTTTCATTCTAAACCTATTTTCACCCCGATCTCAATGTCGTAATGCGTAGTTGTTTCAACGTCGATTCAACCATAGAATTCAACGTTGCAGCAACGTCGTAGTAGCAACATCGATTCAACGTTGCATTGTAACGTCAGTACGAAGTTGCACGAAAGATGTTGCTTCAATTTTCATTCTAAACCTCCTTTCACCCGGAAATCAATGTCGTAATGTGCAGTTGATTCAACGTCGATTCAACCATAAAATTCAACGTTGCAGCAACGTCGTAGTAGCAACATTGATTCAACGTTGAATTGTAACGTCAGTACGACGTTGCATGAAAGATGTTGCTTCAATTTTCATTCTAAACCTCCTTTCACCCCGATCTCAATGTCGTAATGCGTAGTTGATTCAACCACCGAATGCCTGCTGGGTGAGAGTCAGGACTCTAGTAGTTCCAAGTATGACAAAGGCAGGATCAGTGAAACGAACGGTTGACACTAGATCTATTATAATAATAAAGTGGCTCGGTGAGTACAGAAGTAAGGGGATTGACAGGCACAGCACAAGTACGAGCTGGAGGAGCGGCTAGCAAGTTGACGGGCCGACGGCTAGGCAGTACCGCTACAACTGACGAGCGGTGCACAGATCGAGCTATATATAGGCCTTAACAGGGATGACGTCACTGAGTGTGACTCTACCATGTGGGTACAGAACATGTTATAAGAGGGTGACGTATGATAACCTAAAGGGTGATAGAAGATACCCTGACATCTCACCCCCGTGAGTAAAGTTTTTTTGATCGACCTCGATCAGTTCCAATTGTAGGCCGAAGTTAAAAAAAAATTAATTAGAGACGCCTTAGCGTGGCCATACACAATAAGTGCGGAATTAGCATAATTAATGTTAGCTCGATTAGACAAACACAAGAGCTTAAAGTGAGGCTTAATCTAAGAGAAGAACATCTTGGGTCTCCTGGACTTCGGCACAGGTGTTGCCAAGTCCTCTTGAGTCTTCGGTCTTGTGCTAATCTTCGCGAGAA